TTGAAGCCTTTTCCATTTTGTGAACCATGCATTTCAAGCATCATCCAATGAAATTTAATTGCATAAAACTTTCCTGCCATGTGCATATAGTAATATTCTATCTAGATATGAATTACAAAAAAAAAAGCAACCAAAAACTTTTATATACACATGGAATTGCTTAAATTATACCCAGATTTTTTTGTATATGTTTTGATTACTGAAGGTGTGTTGCTAATTTACAAAAACTGTATATGCTGAGCATAAAATGTATTTATTTAATTTCTTTGTCTTGATTGCATTAATTTCTTTTGCTGACATGCATTGGTAACTGGTTGGTAACTGATGCACCATTCTGCATTCAGGAGTGTTAGTACTTGTGTAATGTAAAACAAATGGCTGAAAAACAGGGACCTTTGCTCGTGATATCCTGATGTATAAGAAAAACTAATACCAAGGACTTCCACATGGGCTATAGTTAGGATGGAGAAATATGACCTGTTTTTTTGGGTATTTTTGGCATTTACCAAAACTTGAGAATTCAAGACGAACTATTCATCATGTATATGGCAGTGCCTGTGTAGATGATGGCACATCTGGAGTGACCTATTGTCCTTCACTTTCTCACTAACTCTGACTTCCCAAGAAGTCTGCTATAAGGAAGAAATTTCATGAAAAATCCTTCCAATCCCTCCTTTCAAAATTGGAATTTCAAAATCCTTGTGTTGGATACACTTGCACCATAATTCCCGTGAAGACTCTGAACGGCTGCCAGGTCAAAGCTGCAGCCTCTCCAGAGAGGTGTCTCTCTTCTGCTGCTGGAGAGGCAATCATGAGCATGGCGGCTCGGGCCTTTGGTGTTAAATATTTGCTATATACCCAAAGACAATAAAAGAAAAAAACCTTTAGTATAAAATAATTCAATAAGAAAAACCTTTTCTTAAGCTATTTCCTCTTCATTTGTTCTGGGCCTGAACTTGATAAACCTGCCCACACAATCTCCAGCAAGCAGAATATGGGCTCTGACCATTTATAGAGCGACAATCATTATAGGCAGCTATTTTATGCACCTTTTTTCCCTGTGGAAGCATATAGGGGTGATGCTGTCTCTGAACCTGAGATACAGCTTCTTTCTTCATGGACCTTATTTCACAGATTTTTAAAATTGTGCAGAAGTCTCTCCCACCCATTCTCAGAAGGAATGTTAATTGCGATGCTATTATATACCTAGAGGGTTTATTCATTAAAATCTTGCTTGCACACACAAGTGGTCAGTGGGAAGAGCTGTACATCTCCATGTGTACCAGTCATCTCCCAGAAAAACCTATCCAGATAACATGGTTCTGATCAGCTTCGTGCCGCCATCTGGACCGAGACACTTTGACTTTGTTTGCCTGAAACTAAAGAAATAACTAGGAGGTAAGAGAGGAGAGTAGGATACAAGGGGTTTCCATCTCTCAGGTTTTTCTATGTGGTCAGCATGGACTCCGAGAGCCTTTTTCATTCTTTTTATTTTGATCTTCTGGAAGCTGTTATATGCTAAGCATTTAACATAAGCAACTATTTATCTCTTTACCTATAACAATGAAAATATATGTTAATGGACAAGTAACTTGTGAAGTTTGTCCAATACATGTAGCATATATAAACGTGGTGCTAGTAGACATCAAACATTTCTCAAAACCTCCCCAGGAAAATATAAAAATAGTATCTTGTCACCTTAAACAGTCTATATGCAGCATAATACAGATGAACTGGGATTTTGATGTTAAATATGAAGGTGAAACTGTATTACACCAAGTATTTTCAGTGTTTGTTAGATATTTAGATAACCTCTAAAATCAGAGAGGGAGAAATCCTGCCCTTAGCCACATTGCTGAAGTCAGTGAGAATTACTGCTGTATTATCGAGGGTAAAATGAAATAAAAGGTCTTCCATACCAAGGAGCTGCCTGATCTAAGGTCAGTCTTCTCCACAATAGTAGGTCTTATGCTGGTGAGATAAATGAGGTTATCTGTTGGAGAGTAGACATGCAGCTGGGAAAGAGATTATTCCTGCTCACCTCCCCATCAGCCCTTTTCATCAGCTCAGCTCTGATTTAGCAAACTGAGAAATGCAGTGTAGCCAACGTTTCTTGGCCAAGTCATTCCCATCGTGAACACATCTGGTATGGGAGTGGGCAGATTGGTGACCCATGGGGTCCTCAGAAAGCATTAAGGTAGTTAAGGGAGGCCACATACCTTCTCTGCCCCACAGTGTCTTCCACTCCTCACTTCGGCTTTGTGCATTTTCTGGGGTATGATGGGTCACTTTCTACCTGAGCACAGTTCTTATAACAATTCATTGTAAATATATATATAATATAATTCATATGTATATATGTATGTATGCTATCTAGAATTGCCAGATGGTTGATTTTTTGGTGCCTTTTATCTGACATTCAACTTCTTAAGATATTTTTTTTCTTTTCTTCAAATGACAGGATTGCATTCTTTCAAAAATAGAAAGATAATGTTACTCTGCTTCTAAAGATACTTGATCTGTGTGCTCAGACTTTTATCCTTAATTTAGCTTTAAATCTGCACCTACCATTTCCATAATTCCAGTGGGTAGTAGATGCAAACTGTAAAGGAAAAATGTTTCTGCTGAAAGTGTGTAGGATGCACAGACTGGGAAATAAACGCTTCTATGGTGGAGAGAAATGCAGAGCAGATGAGGGAAGGAGCTGTATCTATTTGACCATATTATGCAAACCAACATCACTAGCACTTGGGAATGGAGCAGTTCCATGTAGTCACACATCTGCACATTTCACATTACATAAAGTAACCTCCTGTGGTGTGGTCACTTCTTAAAGTTGCATTTGCTTACAGTGAGAGAAGAGGGACCAGGTTATTAAAATTTGTGCAGTCATCCGATGTCCTTTAAAAATTGACTGAAGATAGTTGGTTTCTTTTTAAGATAGGCTTGGGAGGTCCTGAAATTGGATTATAAAGAAAATCTTAAGTGGCATTTAATGAGAGGTAAGTACCTTCCTGCCCCAGTAGAGCACAGTGCCCATCTCTGCTGCTACAAAATCATAGAAAATAAGTTTTGATAGGAATTTGGCAGGTCATCTAAATGATCTGTCTGCCAATGCAAGTGAGCCAGGCCTAAATCATCCCCAGTGCTGTCTGTGGCAATTTGTGTTTCATGAGGCTCATATATAACATCTCTGTTAGTCATCTTACCATGCTGCTTTCTTCTCCAGCAGCAGTATGACACGCTCAGTAATGGTAACCTTCTCACTGCTTGATTTGACTGGTTAAAACAGCTCTCCTTCATTAGGATGAGGGGGACATACTGTTCTATATTTGACATGATGAGAATTCCTTTATTTTCTCAATGATGCTCTAAATACTCAATAAAGGGATGCTTAAATATAGATTTGGGATCCATCTGTAAGTATATGAAAAATTCTGTACTGCACAGAAACATCTGCAGGTCATGAAAAGGGTACTTTGAACTTAAATCTTACAGGTACCTTAATTACTACAGCTGGCACAGAACTACAGGTGTCAAAACATTGGTGTCATTTCTGGCACCATTCTAGATCTCAGGGCTTGCCAGGGACTTAAATTTCACTAGATAATTGACTAAGGAGCTGATCGTGTTCTTCTTCCCGAGGTATGCCAAGCTGGAGGTTTAACTTTCCCTCACTGTTGGCCAATGACATTTTTTCCCCCCTCCATGTGGCAGCACTGGGTCCAAATTGCACAGCTGGGCTCAGGTCTTCTATGCTGCCAGAGGGCAGACAGGGCATGCTTCATACACTGCAGAGTCTCATTGGCTTGGGATCAACTACTGTATCAATACAAATATTTTTTAGGTCACAAATCCTGATATTTTTGAGCAGTGATCAAATAACTGCACATATTTAGCTTCATGAAGACACATCAGAATTTTAAAATTCCAAGCAGTGGAAATGTAGGTACCTTCATATTGTTAGTATTTCGGACTTGCGTCTTTGAAAATCTGCTCAGATTTTATTTATTGAGACTAGCAAAGGATGGGAGGACAGAAATTCACCATATTTGCATGGTTGTTTTTAACCCAAAGCAAAGTTATCGTGCTACATGACCGCTCTGTAATGTTTTAATTAAGGTAGCATTATTGCTAAGAGTTTTAATACAGATAAAATTGTCTGTTTTACCTTTGTTGCTGTTTTATTTTAGCTAAAATATATTTATTAAGTAAATGAAATAAAAATCAGGTCTTACTTTTGACATTCCATGCCACAACAAATCTTTTAATTTGTGCTGTGTTTCTGTACCCTATAAAGAATAACAACCAGCATCTTCCTGATAGATTTCGTTGCTCAAACAAAGCAACCACTTCTGCTGGAGCAAATTTTCAGTAAACTGGGTTTTCATGTGTTGGATGTGGTGTGGTGTTTGAGAGGAAACAGATACTGCAGAGGTGATTAATGTAAGGTTGTTTTCCTCTTAAAATACACCTTGCATTCACGGATTCAAGTGTCAGCTCCTTCCCTACTTTTTGATACAATGATATATTAATTACACATTTCTGCTGTTCTTGTGAAATGTACTAGAGTCAAACCACCCTACTGTCATAATTGTAATTACTGAGGTTGTATCAGTATTCCTAATATTACAGTCACTATTGTATGGTACTATTTATAAAGCAGAGAATGAAATGTACCTTATGAGTGCAATGAAAATGTTTCAAACCATCTGGAGATGAGGAAAATAGCATTTCCCATCAGAAAGTATTTTGATAAGAGATTACTCAGTAAATACCTTCAAAACTCAGCCTTTCCTACAAAGCCCAAGGGTGATGACAACCCTAAACTCAGTGTGTATGTGAGACCAAAGCTTCAGTGGCTGCAAATCATCATCCCTCCACTGAAACCAAAGCTTCCACAAAGACTGCTGCAACCACACTGAAGCTCCAACTGAGACCCTAAACCTCAGATCCTGACTTTTCAGAGTACTCTACTAAACAAAGCAAGAAACTCTTAATAGTGAAGAAAGAACACAATCATTATAATGGCAAAGCATTTCCATTTTGTACATCCACATGAACATAACAGTGAAACAACTTGCACTTACATGTTGTAAACATGTACATCATTAAAACCAACATGTTCATTATTAAACTTTTAATATTATGCACACTTCTTTTACAATCAGCTCATTTGTATCTTTAGAAACCAGGAATGCCTTCTGGAGCACTCCCAGGAAGTGTGGTGTGTCCCAAAGCAGTTCAGAAATACAGTGTTCATAGCAGAGCCACTTTATTGTCTTTAACAACTGACTCCTCCACTTCCTACTGTTCACTGGTGAAAACAGAAATAACAATGCGAGAAATACTGTTGTCTGAAAAAATAACTATCTTCGTATTCCTTGAAGTCTGAAAAATAGGTATGTGGTTGGAACAAAATACACATGAAGGTATTTTTTTGTAAGTGTTCCACTGGATTAACCATGTGATGATCTGCAAGACATCACATGTTCCCCATCATCTTGTTCCCCAGCTCCTCTCTCTTGTTCCACGGTCGCAGAGCCAGGAGCTCATTCCTCACACTGGGAAGTGTTGGTAGTGCACAGAGATTGTGTGCGTGTGCTGGTGGCAAAAATGGAGTAACCCTCTTCTCTGCAAGGCATTGCCTCTTGTATGGATAGTGGGAATTCAGTCCCCTCTCTCAGTGCTGGGTTTACACCTATCCCTCATGAACTCATTCCTGGGAGGGACTTCTCCAGCAAGATGGTGACTCATGTAGGTAGTCATGTACATTGCCCCTCCATTTAATATCTACAAATTAAGGGTAAAGCAAGGAAAAACAGCCTGGTTGGACACAATATTTAAAAATTGTTTCAAATCACTATGAATGAAGTGGTCTCCTATTTTTGGGGTCTACACCAAACTGTATTGCATAAGACATTCCCGAACACTGAAGAGAGTTGTTCACCACTCATTGAAGTTAGCAGGGATTTGTCTGCTAATTTCAATAGAATCTGAAATAGGTCATCAAGGGTTTTGGCAGGACTATCTGATGATTAGGAACTCAGGAGAGCAATCAAATTCTAAAAATAGATGCGTCCTGTGCTAAGACATTAGTTTCTCATTTCTTACATGGTATCTTTACCTTTACTGTCATGATCACAATTTTATAACAGAGACAAACATTCATCTAACATTAACCTCAGAAAGTCCATTAAATAAAACTGTAATTTCCAAACAAATTTCACAAAAAATTGTGCCTTAATGATGAGTTTCTGGGCAAAGTAATAGACTCACAATTTTTCCTATAAATAAATATTCTTGAACTCTCGGTATTGTTAAACAAAAACTATTTTGAGATGCCTTCAAGATTTGTGTGATGCAGCCTGAAGAACTGATCTGTTTCTCTCAGGGTGTTTGAGATCTTGGTATGCAATGACTATTTCACCTTCATTTGCTTTATGCACCTGCTAATGGGATGATAATATTCTGGGTATCCTTTGGGGTTGGTAATATTTTGGGGCATCCTTTGGAAATCATCAGGATTTCAATACTTTGGAGTGACTTTCTGCTGTTTATATATTTGATTTTTCTTGCAATGTGCAAAATCTTTGAAGCAGTCATCAAGCTCATTAAAAGAGAAAAATAAAAGACTCTAAGCCAGTTACATCTTGTGAAAGTTGGTAGTTTAAAAACTAGTGTTAAAGAAAAGTAGAGAAAACAAAAAGTGCTGAAAGTTTCCAATTGCCACATACTGGTTCTTTCTTTCCTGTTTGCTATGGACTACCTGCAGTTGTCACGAATGTTGGGTGGTCACTTTATATGGCTGGTATCAGGAGATGTGGAGATTACACAGCCTGGTAGGCAAGTCCATGTTCACTCCCTGCTGCAGCGCACAGGAAGAAATACTATTTCCAGGTCTGCATCAGACTCCCTCACACCACTGCTGTCAGAGGCTGATGTGGTTTGAATATGATGTGTCCTTCCACCTGGGCCTGCACTCTGACACAGCATCTTGGATTTCCACACTCCCACCCTTCTCCCCACTTTGTTCACAGGCAGAACATGAAACAATGTGTTTGCAATGGCTGGTGCTGAGCTAGGTAGATGTCTCTCCAGACTTTAATGCAACGAGTTCAGAGTCCTCTACATATCTTCCATTTAGCTGTTCATTGTTGGAATCATGGTGATACAGGTAAACGGGGACCTCTGTGATTGATGTTGCTGTGTAGGAGGTAGATCGTGTGGAACAGTGCTCGCGGCGCCTTTGGCCCCACTGGGTTTTGTACTGTGTCCATTGCCTCTTCAAAGCTCCTTGGACCTGTTAAAGAAACACATACTTAGAGTGAGGCATAATGTAAACCCCTGAAACTGTAGAACTTTTAAAATAGGAAAAGGGAAAGGGAGAGGAAAGGAGGGGAGAGAAGGGAAAAGGAAAAGGAAAGGAAAAGGAAAGGAAAATGGAATGAAAAGGAAAAGCTCTAGGTCTGATTTCATCAGGTTCAGTCTGCCTCTCTCCTCCTGTCTTCTCCAGAAGCAGTTGTTCAGCTCTTGGTTTTAACTCTTTCCCCGCCTACCTTATGGCAGCAATAAGAGTTTCTGCAGTTGTTGCTGCTTGTGAAGAGAAGGTATAAGTCAGCTCATCCTATAAATGTGGAACAGATTGCTGCATGGGAACGCAGTAGGATGCTATAGTAGAAGAGAGAAGAGGAAGAGGGAATGGGGATTAAAACCTATCTGATGCTGCAGCTGGATTCTTGCCCCTGGAATGCCTAATGCATTCTGATATCTGAAGAAATTTAGCCTTGAGTAAAACTGGCTATGAATGTCAAAGTGTAAGTACTTCTAGAGCTTGTTAGGACTAATTTGTAGAAAGAAAGATTTGGAGGATTAGTAGAGCTAAATAGAGATTTTGTCCTGATAAGTTAAGAACAGGTTCTGTTCTTGCAAAATGTATCACTGGTCATAGCCTGCTGCATGGCAGAGAATTTCAACCTTTGAACATTCATCTGCTAGGAATAAAACATTTTATTCATCTTTTACATTAACAGTGATGTTATACATGTCACTAAGATATGATTTAAGCTGCTGAGTCCTGCCAGGGAAAATGAAACCCTTCTCCAGATGCATGTTCAGGGTGCTGGCTCTTGGTAATGCTAAGAATATGAGCAGGAAGTGGGAAAATGTTTGTTTTTTTGTTTAGATCAATGATTCCAAACACAATGTGAGAATAGGATCGGTTTGATGTAATAATCTGATATAGCGACACCCTCCTCCAGAGGTAGGTAGGTGCAGGTGAGGCACTGTGATGACAGGAATCCTAGAGTTTCTGTGCTCCTGCTGAGGTGGGCACTGTTTGTCATTTGGAGAATGTATTGCTATTTACTTTCTCCTAACAAATAAAGAAAAGAAAACAAATGGCTGAATGCAGATTAATTAGATATCGAGCACGGGAAAGGCCTATGGTCACAATGGCACTTTAATTGTGGGGAGTGTGAGCAAAGTTTACTATGCCAATACCGAGAATTAAAGTGAAATGGCTGCATGTGGTGATGTTTTATATCACACCATCGCCAAAGTTTTTAGTGAGAAAGAGTTACTGGGTGAAACAGCAATGCAGTTTTAGTACTTGATACAGAAATATTACACACAAGGTAAAATCTGTAAAGAGGTTAGTCACTTTAAAATTGCCTTTTGATGTTACAGTATGAATATTGTAGCTTAGTCACTCCAGAAGCTATGGGGAGGGACTGAAAGAAGAAGTCTTCAGACATACTAAGACAGTGACTTTCCCCATATCACACTGGGGTAGTGGCTTGGCTAGACCATAACCATGTCTGTGCAGAGCAGCTCTGCCTGTCTGCAGCCACCTCTCCAACACCACCACCATGGTCACTAGTGACCATGGTCACTAGCACTGCCAGCCATTGTGGACTTCTGGCCTTCTCTGCCCCACGTTGACTGTGTTTGCACTTTTTCCATTCAGATTAATCTCAGCATCTTTACTAAAGGTAGCAAAACCATGCTCTTAGAGTCCTTCTGTTCCTCTTCTAGCCCCCTTCCCCTAGCCCCTGCACAGACCCCAAGGCTTTGATCACTCTTGCATGGGGAGAAGAGCTGCTGTGCAGGTGATGAGCTCCTGATAAGCTCCCAAACTGCCTTCAGCTGAACTGGAATCTGACAGGCCACCAGGACAATCAGAGGTCTGGAGATGTTAGCATAGTTAACTGAAGAGGGAAGAACAATGTCCCTGAGTGTTACAAAGCCTGTCGTGAGGAGCTTAAAATTTTATTTCTTACAAGGGAGTGATGTTTAAATTGTATGTATGGCCAGGGAGAGAACAGGCACATCCCTTCCTGTTCAGCCCATGATTAGAAGTGCCATTATATAGGTTTAAAAGGCTCTACAGAGAAGAGAGAGCACAAGGTCAAAGCAGCTGTGTTTTTGTTCTCTGCTGAACCACTCGCCTGTGCAAGGATCTGGCCGCAAATGGATAATGGATTGTACAAGCTGCTACACTTGAGCAAAACCTGTTAATCTAGATTTCTGCTATGATTCCAAGGATCTCAGATGATCATAACTCAGTGCCAACCAAAACCATTCAGGTATGGATTTTAAATACGTAAGCAGCATTACAGAAAGTCACATGCACAGCCACAATGTATTAATAACTGAGGAGGTGCCTGGGGACAGGAGGCACGGGGCAGTGCTTGCCATGTTTTCTGCTGTGATAGCAGATGAAAGAAAGTAAAAACTAAAACAATGAAGAGCCTGAGCTTATTTACTCTGCTATTCCAGACTTCAAAGGTTTTTCTGTTCTTCATTAACCATTCACGCCTCATTGACACGTAAGATACATGGCTGTTTTTTCCCCAAACTGACTTTCCATTTTGTTGTCCAGCCTTGCAGACTAGAAGCATTCCCAGGCTTGGAAATGTGGTCTGGTGAGCAGACTATTGCAGAAACCTTGTATCATCTGTACAACACTGTTGTTGTTGGACAGAGAAACTACAGTTCTGTTGGATACAAAGATTTTATATGAAAATGCACAAGAAGAGCTATCAGTTTAAAAGTCCCAACCAACTCTTTTGTTTATGTGTTCTTCCACATGAATGCAGGCATTGGTAGAGCTTCTTATTACTATTTTTACATTTCTTTCTATAGATGGGATCATGGAACTAAAGTGAGATTAGTGAGGTAGTAGGTGATGAATGCACTGTAAAACACTGTTAGGTGGTTCTGAGTTTAGCATTGTTTGTCCTGGCTAAGCTTCATGTGTTTCAATCTTGAAGTTAAATACTCCAGCAGGAAAAAGTAAATCCCAGATTATACAGGCTTTTTGTAGTACTAAAATTAATCTCCTTGCCCCACACTGAATTTTCTCGTGAGAAGTAATTTTAACCTCTATGGCAGCAGATGTATGCAGCAGCTTGGAAACAATCTTCTATCATGATTAAAGACCAGACTGTGGCTTTGGTCTGTATTCTACTGCACACAACAAGACTGGAGGGAGTCAGCTGAGTTCACTTGGCCAAACTCAGAACAGTACTCCCTTTGGAAGGATATAATATCAGCTCGGCATTAGTCTGTTACTGCTCTTCTACAGATTTTGTGCCTTATATATCTACAGATTGGGTAACTGCAGGAATAAAATGGGAGGAAGGGGATCACAATCCTTTCATCCTCTCTTGGCAAAGTCCAGCCTAGCTACTCTAGTGCATAAACTTTGCTTGATGTTTATTGGAAATGTGCTGATGCAAGCACCAAACTGTCTTGAGTCTGTCTTAGAGAGGTGTCACCACTGACTCTCTGCTCACTTTAATGGGAAATTTTAAAGAAAGCTTCCCTTATTGTCTAGTAAATAAAATTTCCTATAAGAAAACAATGACAGGATTTCTCAGAATTCCTGCCATTGAAAGTTGCCTGAAGCAGATACGATTTTAAAAATGGGTGTAATGTTGAAAAGTACCCAAGCACCAACATGTGCAAAATCATTCTCAACATGTCTGGGAAACCTGACTCCTCATGGCCATTTCTTCTTATTGCCTGACAATTGGTCATGTTTCTGATCAGCTGCTCCACCAAGGAATCATTAACTGTACATGTTGGCAAGCAGATACTTCAGATATATTCATTATTGCATAACTCGAGAATTGTATTCCTGGAGTTGTAAAGGTGAATATGCTCTTCTGACACTGTAGCATTGCCAAAAGTACTTTGGAATTAGAGCTAGCTGATGAAACTAAGAAATAAACAGTCTTTAAGGCTCTTCATGTTTTCAGTGCCTTTTATTGCTGCCTTTCTTCTTTTTTAGCACTGCTACAGCCCTTAATTTAGACACAAATCCATGTTTTCTCCTTCGAGTTGGAGAATTATGGAGTAAACAACCTTTTACAATAAAGCTATAAAACAATAAGAAAATTTGTTCTGCAAAATTTAATCTGAAAAAAAAAAGGAAGGTGATGCTGGGAGAATGAAGAAGGTGATGTTCAAGACCAGGATTCTGGGGCAAAACTTAGTTTGGAGGCCAGTGCGGGCATACTGGAGCACTGCTTGTACATAGCTATGCAGTCATTCCTACAGGGAAAGGATGCTTCAAAAACTGCATGACTGGTCTCTACTTTCTTCATGTCGGGTACCCCCTACCAGGGAGAATCAGAAGTTTTTCTGTGTTTCCAGGGCATGGAGACTGGACTGTGCCAGCAAGTGATGACTGTAAGGGAGAAGGAGAAAGGGTGATAGTTGCCTGCAGATCCTGGGGACAGAAATGTCACAGAAAAAGAGTTGTACATCTCTTCAACTTTGTTTAGTTGGATGCATGAAACCAACTTTTGTAGCATGATCTTTACAGCTACCATTTCATGTTAGGTTTCAGGATTGGTAGTTGCTCACATTTTGCCGTTCTCTTTCATGTTTCCTGAGAAGCCATGCCACAGAACTACAGTGGGAGGCCTCTCACCTTTTCTACTCTTGAATTTCTCTGTACATTTACACAGGGAGCCAGACACAAGCAAATCTACAGAGATGTCGACAGCTCGTGGCAGAATTTAATATTCTCTGCTATCCTGAAAGTTATCAAAGCAGCCAGTAGCACCTTATCAATAACATAATTTGCTTCAAGTCTCTATCAAAACATAAGTGTGGTCACATCATTACTTGGAATTTGCTACTTTCTAATAATATGCAGGGATAAACAGGAGCACAAATATCTGTCTGGGTTGACATACTGAGCGTTAGCATCACAAAGTTTATTCTGTGTCTAATTCCTCTGGTCTGGATTGAAAATGATCTTTTTAATGGAATTCCTAAATTTGATAAGATATATGGTGTTTTATTTTGCTACACTTGAATGCTCCTGATGTATTGAAAAAGCTTTTTTTTGCTAACCATCTTTGAAAAATGACTTGCTGTAGGAATTTAAATGGTTCTTGACATATTCTTACCTGTTATTTTTTGTAAAAAAAAAAAGGTAGTGAAGTGGACCTAAAAGCCAGTGTAGGTGTATATACATATATAAGCTCTAGTTGTAAGAGAATGGGAGAGATCTTTGCCTCAAGGACTTTTATTTCTCAATTACTACACAAGAAACATTGACTGTAAAAAGGCCAGTGCTAATCCTCGAAGGAGTGAAAGTAATTGCACTCTTCCAGCTCTGGCACTGCTACCAGGGATGGCCTCTGCCATGGCTCTGGGCCTGAATGCAGCACTGGGTTCTCCAGGACAGACCCCTGAAGGTCCCCACTGCTTACTGTGGTCCTTCCCGTTGTTTTCAGGCAGGAAGGGGAGTAGAGCATTTTTCTCCTTTACTTAGACCTCCATATCAAACTGCAGATGGTAGGGGAGAGTCTCAAACTGCAGATGGTAGGGGAGAGTCTCATGCCTGTACCTCATTAGGTGTCATCTGCTTTGTAATGGTAATACACCTGATTCATCTGCTCAGAGACATTCAAGTCACACTCTGCACAGAGCTTTCAAAAACACACACAGCTGCTTGTCTATAGAGTAAAAGCAGCTTCGTGTAGTTTCAAAATTTGTGGTGTGACATGCTTCACATCTGCATTAATGAACAACAGAGTGACTATTTTTCAAGTTCTGGTAATTTTCTGTATTTCACATACTTACCTCACCATTGAAGAAGCAGAATATAGTAGCCACGAGTAAACCCTAAGAGAAAGGAAGAGTTTAGGAATCAGAACATGTAAAATTCTTTAGTGCAATTTGGAAATTTGGACTTGATGGATACAAAATAAAAACATTAGTCTACTTCCTCTGCATCACAGACACTCCCCATCTTTCACAGTTATGCTATTAAAGGGATTTTTGTCTTTTTATCCTATTTTACCATTTTCTTCTGTATTATTAGCATTTATAGATTATCTGTTTTGTCTATGAAGTTATTTATATATAAGAGATGTAGAGGAGGAAAATTAAATGATTTGTAAGATAGAGAGATATTTTGCTTACAGCTGAGAATCACACTGCCACTGATTTTTCTGAAGAGATGGCAGAGCAATTGTGTCCTATATGCTGCCACTGACTCGTCAGAGTGCAGCTATCCAGTTAGAAGTGTCAGCCATGGAGAATCCAGCTGTGCCAGGAAGGCTATAAATTGAATTGTATGTCAGGATAAGTCAACTGTATGTTGGGCATCACAGTGCACAGAGAGGATGCGAAAAGAAGTGTAAGTGGTCAGAAAAAGGAAAAAACCCACAAAACAGATGAGTTACAAGGAAGGGGAGCAGAAAAAAAAAAAGAAGAAAGATACTGCAGATCATAGCTTAGTCCTTAATAGCTTTAAATTAATTTAATCATCACCACAGTTGTTCAGATAATATTTCACCACTGCTACAAGATTAAGCAGGGCCAAGGCAGGAGTATGAGATGAGAAAGCGTGAAATTAATAAAAGAGAAAATTCTTGCACAGAGAATCTGCCATTCAGGATTAGGTAGTTACACTGGTCCATGTCCTAATTTCACTTGCTCTTATTAAAACAGCATTACATAGTATCACTGGGAGCCAAATGCCTTCATTTTAAATTACTTAAAGCAGTTATTATAAGCTAAACGTACAGCAGTTTGTGAAATTGAGGAGAAAACTGCAATGCAGCTTGTGTTCCCAAGGGCTGCTTTGAAGAGCTTTACAGCTCTATCTTTTTTATAAAACCTTCATTTAACTGATTACCAGTTAAACTGTAGCTAATGCTTTGTAAAATGTCTTGGACTCTCAAATGTATATGTTGGACCACAAAGACAGGATAAGAATAACTGTTTTAACAAAATGCCTATATATGAAAGATATACAGGCTGGTTTGAACATGTGCTGACCATCTCAATTTTGACAACTATTTTACTAAAATAGATTTTCCTGATGCAGAATTTGTAACTTGACATAACTTCAAATATCAACATAGAAAAGCATGTAGAAGAAGGATGAAGGGTAAGTATAGCGAGAAAGTTTTTTCATGTTTTGACAAAACACTATTCTCAAAAAACTCAAATCCCAGCCTACAATAAGCAGTGCACATCAGTTTGTCCATAAGCTTTGGGCTGAGAAACACCAAAACCTTACTCCTCCAAAGCAGGAGTTTGTCAGATCAGACATCCTCAAATGAAAATTTTTGCAAGGGGAGAAATTGTGTCATTTTCTGCTGTCCTGCATTGATGCTCTTCGTGCTGTGTGCACTGCAGTGATGTGCAGAGTCTTGCAAAACACCTGCTGTTGAACTGCATGGTTCATGGTTCAGCAGGGGTCTCACTATTTTGCTAAATGTTTTTACTAACAGCAGTCAGCCATAATGGCAAATGATCTCCTCTGGGAGCAGGGATGCTCGATGGACAGTCCACAGGAGGCATGGCAGACACAAAAGCCAGCAAGAAGAGAGAAAGAAGCAGAGAATTTTTTTCTGAGTCTGTTCTTCAGTGAGAGTGTTTAAGGAGAATTTGGGAACTGCAGTTCACCTAAAGACAGAAATTGAACCCAAACTATTGAAGTGAAGCCATTTTCCATTTCAGTTCCTGTATGGTATTTGAATTCCTCTGTCACATCCTGCAATTGCCCTACTTTTCTTCTGTTCGAGAGTGTAGTTCCCTTAACTAGTGTCTCCTCCAAACAATTTCTGACAGAAGAGCTAAAGAGGAAGCTGTGGTGATGCTCTATATCCCCTTCAGTTGTTCTTCTAGTTTAGAGTGAACTGAAAGCACACCTGGCTCCTTGTTATTTTGAAACCATGCGTATTGTACATGTTCTGGCTGAAGAAATTACCTTCTCTAGTCTGTCCCATACATGTTTCATTGCTTTTCGTCCTGCCATGGCCCTCTGGGCTCCGTCATCAATATTTCTATTTCTATTTCTATTTCTATTTCTATTTCTATTTCTATTTCTATTTCTATTTCTATTTCTATTTCTATTTCTATTTCTATTTCTATTTCTATTTCTATTTCTATTTCTATTTCTATTTCTATTTCTACTTCTATTTCTATTTCTTTCATTTTACACATAAAGTTTTACCCATAGTTCAAAGGACTATTGTTATCTTCATTTGTAAAGCTACAGAGATACCAGTAGCAGACACCAACTTTGTCTCTTTAGAGCCAGGAGGGCTTGGGATGACCATAATTCTACAGTGGATCTATTATAACATGTGACAGACTGGATGTAGGTTAATTATTTCATTTAAGGCCCATGGGCTATTTCTCATATCTCATTGACATATGTCTTCCATATTCTCTCTAATTGCTGCTGGTTTTTGCTCAGGGTGCAATTCTTGCCAAGGATGAAATCCCTAAGTCAATTGTATCTCTCTTCTACTGTGTGGAGTTGTTAAATTGACCTGTGATATACTGTCTGCTCCCAGTAAGATAATCTTGGCTGTGGTATTGAAAGCAGAAATGAAAAGTATATTTATTTTGAGATTAAGACCTTTAATGACTTCTGAAACTCTTTATTTCTGGAATTATGTGAAGAACGGATGAATGCGGCTTTTGGCTGAATTATGCCTTAGGGATTGTCCAGAGTCAGCAACTCTCAGACCTTCATATACCTTATTGATACTGTAGTGAGTTTTTCCCTGGTTTTAAGTGCCTATACTGGTCCAAGGACATTCTTTGCTTGACAGGTATTTAATTTGTATCTCCCTCTCCTAGAAGACATAAGTGTCTTGAAAAGAAGTTCCAGTAATTTGCTCAGGTTAAAAAGAAACAAACAAAAAATATCTATGCAGATACTGCAAATTTACATAGGTTTCTGGTACCTCTTGCTTTTTAATTCTATCTTATGTCTCCATAAAACCAAGAAAGTATATATAGATATACTTATTCCTGACCATGTTTCTGCCCTAATTGATTACACACTCTGTTGCTGTTAAGGCTTTAGTGGGATGATATATTTACTACTGATGGTAGATGATGATGGCACATGTAATTGTACAGATGGTCATAATAAAAATAATCAGTTTTTGATTCTCTGTGTGGACTTTGGTCAACATCCATTCACTTGTCACTTTTGGATCTGAATAGATAGCAATAAAAATCCACCCTGGCCAAGGTTCTTCATAGAAGTATAATTCCATTCCCATCTCTCTCATTTCAGCAAAGATAAAAAGCTTTGAGAGAAACAACAGTGTTCCTCACCATCTTCATTCACAGCAACAGCATCTCTGAGGTAAATGACTGGGTTATAAATTGTTCATTTATGTTAGGTGAAGAAAAGAAAAGCAAAGTGAAGAATCTGTCTGTGCAGTTTCTACTGCTACTGAGGTGGGGAGATTGTCACAAGAGGGCTGAAGAGGGCAACCCACCTGCTGTAAAATGATGGAGACATCCCATCAGCCAAAGCTCATGCTTTGCTTCTTCTCCTACTCTCTACTGGAGGTTTCATTACTGTAATTTTGTGCATGAAGTTTTCAGACAAAAATGGCACTTTATAAGTATTTTCCCCAACTTTTATTGGCTCAAAATATTAAAAAGTTTTGAAATTACTAATAACGCAAAAAGAAAAAAAAGAAAGGAAATAAAAACCTCCCACTTATGTTGTCAAAAGCAGTCCTATAACCTTAACTTTGCACAGAAGGAGAAAGTATTTCTGTCTGATGTGACATCACAGAGGATATTTATTTCCCTATAAATTGAGAAACAGATGGAATGAATACCTTCTAAAATGCATTCAAATATCTCACTATTTTTAAGAAGCTGCTTTTAAATGGGTTAATTTTATTCTGCATAAAGCTGCATAAAAAGCAAAATTTAAAAGTTGGAGGCAGTGGGGATATATATGTGGTCCAAACCCACGCCTAAAAGACTCAAAATACCCTTGTACCACATCAGACCTCTGTGAGCTACATCGCCCTGCCTAGAAGGGCAGGTGCTTCAGTCCTGAGGTGCTGCTTGGAAGCTGATGAGTGGCACAGAAGGGATCTCACTTGCAGAGAAAGAAAACTTTGATTATTCTCCGTTTAACAGATAAAACTTTTCATTTGCCAGTAAAACTCAAGGCCTTATGCTGAATAGCAATTTAATTTCTCATTAGAGGAAGACTTGTACATTTAGGGCTACAGTCAGCAAGGTATTGTGAAGAATAACTTTAAGTGCTTGTGTACTGCTGTTGGTTCAGAGGCTGTTCCTCCACTACTTCCTCACAGACTTCCACGGCTCTTCTCTGGCACAGTGACAGGGCCATGTTATGTAACCTGGCAGCCTCTATAACCACAGCTTGAAGGTGCTGGAGACAGAATTCAGTAAGATGGGACAAGTGGTGGAGGGAGCTTGCAAGCAGAAGTTTATTAATCCCTGGGCTTGTTTTGAGAGCATCTGGGGAGGAATGTGTCTATAAGTGGGACTAACTGATGCATCATAGAGTTATTAAATTTTTCTGTTCTTCCCCTTTCCTTCTGAGGCCTTTGCTGCAGACTGACATCAGAAATCAGAAGCTGGGATAATTGTCAGAAGCACAGCACCCCAATCTCTTTGCAGCCTGGGACTTTTCCAAAGATTTTCAGTGGTTCCCAGGGTGAAGGAGGTGGCAGCAGCAGCCCCAGGGCTAGCAGAGGTGCAGGAGACCCTGCCAGGGTGTCAGGCACAAGCCACATTCTCTCTTGCTTTATCTCGGAATGGAGAGCTGAGTGCAGGACAGAGGGTTGTTGCTGCTCCACTCCTTTGAAGGAGGCACTCTCTTTGCCCAGGTGCACCATTTCATCTTCATTGGCCAAATGATGGGGCTTTTCAGGCTTTTTACAGATGTGTTTTCACGCCAGAGGTGTGCAAGGAGCCAGCACATCCTGTACCATAATGCTTTACACCCTGAGGGAGTTTTCATCTTTCATGTGCTTTCAGCATCATCTAACAGGCTTTTTAAGGTAAATCTGCAACTCACTGGCTTTCTGGAGTGCAGATGTTTGCTTTGTGATGCCTAATTTAGGAGCTCTGCTTAATAAGTTAACTGTGTGTTCACCAGTGTACCTACAGCACCCCAATCCATGCATGTCATTCCAGTTAAGGTGTGCTGGTTTTGTGTCGGGTAGTTAATTTTCTTCATAGTAGCTAGTATAGGGTTCTGCTTTGGATGTGTGCTGGAAACAGTGCTGATAATTCAGGGACATTTTAGCTATTGCTGAGCAGTGCTTGCACAGAGCCAAGGCCTTTATTGCTTCTCATTTCACCCCACCAGCAAGTGGGCTGGGGATGCTCAAGGAGTTGGTAGGGGATGCAGCCAGGACAGCTGACCTCAGCTGATCCAAGGGATATCCCAGATCATATGGTGTCAAGCTCAGATACAAAACGTGGGAAAAAGAAAGAGGGGGATATTTGGAGTGATGGCATTTGTTGTCCCAAGTAACTTACGAGTGATGGAGCTGTGCTTTCCTGGGGATTGCTGAACACTTGCCCTCTCATGGGAGGGTGTGAGTGAATTCTGTGTTTTATTTTGCTCGAGTACATGGCTTTTGCTTCACGTATTAAACTGTCTTTATCTCAACCTGCGAGTTTTGCCACTTTTACCCTTCCAATTCTCTCCTCCATCCCATTATGGGGAGTGAGTGAGAGGTTCTGCGGGGCTGAGTTGCTGGCTGGGGTTAAACCACAACGTAAGGGTTGAAATATCTTTCTTTTGCCTCATGCAATCTTCAGCATTCTGGAGACTGAAGAGATGATACTGGTGATGGTGAGAAGAGATACTCATTTCTACTTTTACAGGATCCATGAGAGGTTGTCTAGCTGGGCTGGAAAAGTACACACATTCATATTTGCAGCGCAAAAGCCAGTCTTCAATTTTTTTATCATCTACATATCTGCTCTATGAATCTGTTAAGAAGAATCTGGTCTATGTGAGAGAGACATACAGTAGACATACAGTGTTTGTGAATTGCTCATACAGGCACATTTGAAAAAACATTTCTGCTTAAAATGGTGAGCATTGATGACATTATCGCAAAAAGAGCAGGACAATTCAAAACCAGACTGGTTTCTGTTATTCAAAAGCGATTTCGGCAGAGGAAACCAAGCATGTGACACCTTGATGTGTTGTTTTTCTACTGAGAAACCATTCTCTGAAAGAAATACCATTACATGGTTTCTTGTGTGAAGAAATTCTTTCTCATCTTCAATCCTCTGAGTTTTGCAATAAACTGCAGTGCTTGTTTGCACCATTTCTGTGTACATGAACTGCATAACACATATCAAACCTTCATGCTCACTTAAAGCAGTGACATGCTGTTGAAAAACCGTCTCTCACTCTGTTCTATAAAAGGCATAAAAATTACTCATTTAACCAGTGCAGAAATGGAGAATGTATTAAATTCTCCACCGAAAAAAAATTCATATTGCGCCCATGATGCCTGCTTGTATATGACTGACATGCTACGAGGTGCAAAAGCTAATAGACTACTGTTAGTTTCTGGAGGGGCAGGCTGTGATGTGGTTTATGAAAGCACAATAGCTAGGAGGGAAACACAGCCATTACAAAAGCTGATACAATATCTGCTAATTACATACTCAGTCCTAATAGAAAATGAGCACCAGAAGAATGATTATATAGCTGGCTATCTTAAATATGCATACAAGAAATGGTTGGGAAAGGATTAAGAAAGTTTATTTTAGAATATAATTAAAAATCCACTCAAAGTGGAAAAGGGGGCATCACAATCAGCTGCAGTTAGCAGGACAACTGCACAGCCCTCCTGAAAGGTCACATTTTGGTAGGAAGCACACTGAGATTATACTGAAGAGATATCAAGAGCTCTTCTGTGAGAGCAGAAGGAACCCATCAGAGATGAAACTTTGTCACCTTGGATCCCTCCCTCACCCAATCCCCTTCATCAGTACAACTTCCATTTTAACCTCAGTTTAGTGACTTTCTAGTGCATAATGATCACAATTAGAATTGTTAATTAAGACAATTATAATTGGTTTTGCAATTTTCCAACAACCTCACAGGATTTGCAAGCTATTTTAAGAGTAAAGTGATTATTGTAACACTCTCTTATTTTAACTTGCTAAAACTGTAAGCAAATAACTTGTCACCAGAAAACTAGTTTGGAGATATTACTTTACAGCTCTTGCCACCAAAGATGTGACAGTAAAGGTAACAATAGAAGAAACAGACTCTCATTCCTTTAAAGCAGAACTGTAACATAAGATGACATACATTTCAAAAACCTATAACTGCAGTTATTCTATGCATGCAGTAGCAGGCACACCCACAGTTTTGAAGGGATAAAGGCAATAAGCAAGAAATAAAATCTGGCAGGATGCAGAGATTTTGACAGCATTATTTATCCCTTCATTTATGAAAAAGTACCACTGATTTTTTTAAGCTGTTTTCTTACTACAACATTAACATTATTTCTGCATTTAGCTTCTGTATGAAAGGAAACCAGAAGTAGATCACGGTATTCACCCATGTTGATCACTATCCACAAATGCATTGGAAATCTGCCTTTCCTAGTTAATATAAGACTGGATATATTCCAGTCAGAAAACAAGATAAGCCAGCATTTAAAGTCAATTAGGTTTGTTTTGCTATCAAAAGAAAATAAACCAGACTTGCTGAATGATGCTATATTTTCAAAGCACTGATGAAATCAACATGTCAGTCTTGCAATTTAAACTGCCTAGTAATGTAATTCTAACTCCTAAATGAAGCTTAATTGCCTCAGTGTTTTCTTCTGTGTGTTGGCATTCCCTCTGTACAACAGTTTGCATACACAGCTGATTTTAATATTAACTTCACAGCACCAGTTTCAGTCAATTTGAGCATTTCAACAGAAATTGTGTTGGAACACAAAAGCCCTCTGCGAACTCAGTTTTCTCTCCATAGTTTAGAAATAGTGTAATCTGATAATTTTGGCTACTTATTACATTGTTTCCCCTATCTTTTCTCTGTTCTTTACACAGTGGTGCTGCTTGTGCAAAGGCAGATAATCCAATAATGCGAAAGTGTTTAGAAAAGAACAGAAAACCCACAGACATTTTCGGCTTCAGGGAAAAACCCCTGACAACAGTATCTTTGAGTGAATTAGCTTAACAGCAAACACTTTAACTACATTGAAGTTGCTACCATATAACATACCTGGTAATGCATTAATATATGCATGATGTAATCATATATTTCTCCAGCAAGTCGGTTTTCTGGTCTCCAGGGAATAATAACAAACTGAATTCCTAGTAAGGGCACCAGGATTAAAGTAGCTCTAACAGCTTTCATATACATGTTGGACTCAGCACGGTGGGTGTCTCTCAGCTTTGTCACCAAAACTCGGACAATGTTAAGCAAAAAGAAAAAATTGACCTGCAAAGCCAAAGCCATTGTAGGTGAAAGCATTCAAATTAAACAGACACCAAAATAAAAGTACAGAGCACATAAATAGCAGTAAAGTGTAGCTTTTTAGCTTTATTGTATCTCATAATGGGCAGCTCCTGGGGAGTCATGTCTTGGTAAGTACCTTGAAAAGATAAATGTACCAGAAATGATATGTTAAGCAGCTCTACATGCTTAGGAAGCCTGCATGGATGCTTCAGGCAGGCAGGGATCCGTTCTAGGAAGCACTGAATGTTTTGACACTGATGTGGGTAAATTTAGTATTTCCAGGGAACACTTAATCTCATTTTCGTGTCTAAAGTTTAAATGAGGGGGATGAATTGCCCCCTAGAAGTAACCAGTCTAACAGTTACTGAGCTATCTTGCCAGGTGAGACAAACCCCAGCATGTCCTTGGGCACATGGGACTTATGGGAGCACATAATTTCCCTAAGGAATATTCTCCTTGGGCCAATACCTCAGGTTTGTGAAGCCAGCAGGGCAGTAAGGCTGCTCTTGAGGAAAACCTAGGCTACCCCTTGCCTCCACCACATTGCAGGGACCTCATGGTGCTCTACCCATAGGTAAAAGGAAGCACTTGCTGTCTTGGCAGAAATGCCAGACACTTCCGAAAATTTTGCCCCTGACCCTTACAGTCAGTGATTACAAGCAGCTCAGCATCTCATCTCCTCAGTCACTTCTGGAAATCTGATCTCAGCACAGTGGAACCTGCCCTTGACCCCTGGCTTCACAGAGAGCTCCTTGTGGGATGTGCTGAGAGCCTGCAGGAGCAGGGAGGGCAGACCCAGGCTGACAATGAGCCCAGTGGTTACCCTGTGGACATCACAGACTTCTCCCTCTCCAGTGTACCCAGATCACTCTTTTCCACTCTGCTACAGTAAAATCAGGCACCTATGCCTTGGAACTTTATTAGACATTTTTGGGGTGATTTTTTTAAAATAAGTATGGAAGTTGTATAACTTACATAGCTCAAATTCCATAGATAAAACTTCAAACTTTAATAGCTCAAATTCCATAGCTAGATGGGAAATTTCAGTTGATTCTTTCAGAAGGATGAATCAGTAAGCTTTGGCAAAGCATTTCATCACTTCTTAACTACACTGAGAGACCTTTCAACTGTTTTACATTTGTTCTCTACTGGAAAAAAGGAATAATAAATTACTTCTCAGGTCCCATTCAGCATTAAATCTAAACCTTATTCTTCATCCTATTCTGACTCCACTCACTCTGCTTAAACTTCACTTTTAGCATTTCTGGAAGTAACCAAAAAAGTGGAAAAAAGACTTTACAAAAGTAAAAACCTTTGACTCTTCTGAGTCAGTCTGTCACTGTGGGATTTTTGTAGCAGATCAAGCAGGACATTCTGTAGACATTGACAACTACACAAGAAAAGTAAGAGTGGAAATGGCATAAGCACAAGCCAGAAAATACAATGCCTTATTTTGAAAACAGGTAAAGATTGTTCTTTTTTTTTTTTTCCATGAAAACCAGTCCCCTCTCTTTCTGTTGTGGCTAAGATGTACAGACTTGGATCATGATGATAAAAATAAAGGTTGAATGGCCTCTCCTACATGTTAATTGGCATTAAAAGAGCAGATGCAATCAATATCAAACCAATAAACCCCAAATATATGTGATTCTATGGGATGAACAGACTATCTCTATGACAGGGAAGGATGGGCTCCTTTGCATTGCTGATGTTCAAGATTGCTTCTCAAGAAAGGGCAGAAAGCTTTTAGATGGAAAGTTGTTTCTTTATTCAAAAGTGTTCCCAGTACTCACTGCCCTCCTGTTTGATTTTGAGGTAATAATTGCACATACATCCATGCAGTGTTTGTAAGCATGAGGCAGCTCAAAAGCTGAAAGTTCATCTTGTGTGACACAAACTTAGGCTTGGGTTGAATAAAACCCTTTCTGCACCTTTCAGGAAGGTCATGCCAAACAGCACTACTGGCATACCACATGTTGTGTGTATGTACATTGTCAAGCTGCACTTTGAATCTTGTCCTTCTACTCAGACAGCCCAGTCCAGTCCCTTCCCTGGGACTTGTTTAGCTCCCTACCTTTGGACCATAACAGTTCAGTGACGAGTAAAACTCATGCTGAGCAACCAGCCTGTGCTCAGCTCACCCCAGCTAAAGCATAGCTAAATGCCTCACTGATGTCACATAAATGCAGTATATATTCATCATAAATAAGTTACACTGGGATAGAGTGACTGTCCTGATTTTCTAAAGCAGCTAGTGAGTCTGTTTGCCTCAAGAGTCTGATTCTTTACTGGGAAGTCCCTTTACAGGGACTTGCTTTTCTGAAGTATTGAGAACCTGTTTTTGTAATACTGAGTACAGAAAGTCCCTTGCTACTTCTGAGTTTTGACTAAAATAGTTAAAGTACAAAAACTTCTACTCTGTATAGATTAGTAGCATTTCTAAAATAATTACTCAACAGTTAATAGCAAATAATATTCTTACCAATAAAGCTGCCATTACAGGCCCATGAACAATATAGAGCAAGTGTGTGTCAACACTCATCCAGCAGCTGGAAGGGAAATACAACATTTATTATTAACTTGAATAAAATTTGCTGCACAGTTAAGTACTGCTAAGTTCCTTCAAAAAAAGATATGATACTCACTTGTCATTGAAGTATCTGGCTCTTGCAACAGCATGAATGGATGCTGGCATTAAAGGGAACCCTGAAATGATTAAAGTTATAGATCAGTCTTGGTATTTGTTTAACTTGAATTTCATGTATCTCACACACTAATAAGTCTCTTGTCTACAAAACACATGGATGTGAAATCACAGCTTTCAGGAAAGAACTATAATCCATTGCACTCAGGCCCTGGCGTTACCTCAGTGGTGAGATAAAAAGAGATTAATGTTCAAGGCAAGCCAAAAGGAGAAGCAAAGCCCACAGACCATACTCTTCTGGGGCATTTCAAAGCTGCTGCCAGGCTCCCCTGAGCTGCTGTGGCTTGTGCAGGGAAGGGTGTGAGCAGGTGGTGTGGGAAGAATTCAGGGATCATTCTGTTCTCAGAGGAGTATTCCCTCAGGAAACCAGGGACACTTGTTAAAACCATGTAAATAACTATTGAGCAAGAGAGAGGCACATGTGTGCCAGATTATGGAGCAATAAATAACAGAGCAAAGAGTTTCTCTTTTGGAGCCAATGGTACAAGCAAATATTTGGAGCCAGGAGGTTTTTGGGGGATGGGGATTTGTAATATCTTCTGTAGGTTCCCAGCCCCTGTGCAGCCAAGCCCACCCCATGTAGCTTTATGTTTGTAGGGAGATGAGCTGTGGATACCATAAATCCACATAAATACTGTGGATACCATAAATCCTGACTTATTTGTGACACCTCAAGGGAGGCCACTTCTCTGACAGGGAGATGACAGGAGCAAATTTGCACTGGGCTTGAGAATATGCCATGTGCAACAAAGTGGAAAGCTCAAGTTCTTATTTCCAGCCTGACACTGAGAGTGACAGTTTGGTCCACTCCTGTCCATCTTCCTTCAGCTTGTATGTCATATTCCTCTCCAACAGGCTAAGAAACTGGAACTGGTGAACCTGCACTATAATGCTGACTCCAGTTTGTACAACCTTGCACATACAGACAGCTGGCCAGTGGGGAGATGATGTACTGCCTTGTCTGTCCTTTGCAGAGAGCTTGGAGTACACCTTTGGTGTTACTGCTGCCTGCTCTCTAAAAATTATGGATGTTTCTACTGAGTTTTGGACATTCTATAATTATAAATGCAAATGTGTAAAAATATCCCGCTGATACCATGATTAGTCAAAGAGGGAAGAACATGGCTCCATGTTTCTTCAGGTGTTAGTGATTTCATAAACAATTTTAGAAGAGTCAGAGAATCCTTAGCCATATTGTGGAGAGTGAGAATAAAATCAAAAAACTATGTAAATAGGCTGCTCTGATGTCTCCAGGTATCTTTAAGCAATAGCTACTTATTCTACTGCCAAAAAAAAGTTCTTATTGCAATTTACCTTGGGAGGACAATGCATCTGTGGGAGAACAAACTGGATTGCCTTTTCCTTTATATGTTGTTAGACAATGATGAGTTGGCCTCTGGCTGCAAAATGCCTTTTTTTGGGTGATGATGCACAGTAAAACAACAAAAACCTCAGAATAAAAAGAAGGGAGTTTCCAACCTCAGGGTGAGCTTATGGCACTGACAGCTTGAGAAAATCATTTTGATTGGGAAATGGAGCAGGTCTAGGCCAGTTTTTTTGACAGACTGAAATGCAATATTTAAGGGGCCTTTCTGCAACAGCAAAAATTCTTCAGCTGAAAACTCTGGCCTGGAGTATTGCAAGTAGAGTGAGCCACATGGTGCAAAGAGACCTTTCTTTTTCTGCTAAAAGCATTAGGATATTTGGTTCAACAAACTCACAAGCAAATCTTAAAAATACAATGGAAAGTCATCACTAGTCAGTTGCAGGGTAAGACGCTCATGACTCTCTACAGCTCAGATTTCCAGCTGCAGGCTGGATGGGCTCTTCTCTTGTAAAGGGCCAAAAGGCCGAGAGTTATTGAGAAGTGAAGCACCACGGCCTGTGGGGTCGTGGTAACAGGTATCACTGCAGAGTCCCACCAACACATGGGGATCAGTGAGTAACGTAGAGAAGGTGTTATCCCAATCATCCCAGGAAAAGATATGATATATCCCTTTAGGTCATGCCAGGTCCTTTATAGCACAAACTGGCAATTATGTCAATATTTCCAGTACAATTTGGGAGGCACTCAGTTTTAGCACTGTCCAAATAAAGGCTTCCCTTTTGACTTTTATACGGGTGAAGCTGTCTGAAGCATCCAGACAGAATAGACTGTAGCTGGATGCACACAGTCGGTACTGTTTTATTTCCCTGCATAATGGTGATTTCCTGACCCAGTGAAAAAGAAAAAATGAGAAACGACATCCCCAGTGGCAGTTCCCAGAGAAGGGTCAACTGATGGCAACAGCCTTGAAATACATCTGTCCAGGTCAGATTCCATTTCATCACCTCAAACCTTTTGCAGAAGTTTTTGTATTTGCTCAGATTTTTACTTTTCTTATAAAGCTATTTTACAAATGTCATTAGTGATTTTTCCAAATAAACTGTATCTTCTTGCATAGGGATTAGCAACAGCAATGAATAATGAGTAACTTCATCTTGTGTTGTACATTTGCTTTGATCTCTTGAATTGCAATTCAGAGCACAGTCTGCTCTGGTTGCTCTGTATTGCTCTTTGGAGAAACATATCTCTTTCCATTGATTAACACAGCTGGATGTTTAAAGTTAGACTGTGTTACTACTGCTTCTGGAATCAGGGGAATTACACTGATTCATGCAAATTTAAGGGATGGCCAGATAGTTCTAATGAGATCATTTTGCTATTAATACTTTCTACTTTACTTAGGAGGTACTAATGATCACCTTTTTTTGTGGAAGTATTCATCTAGTTTCATAAAAAAGGCTGCAGACACTGTCGTCAAGAGTTGTGTTCATTTTTATTAACCTTTTCCATCTCAAGGTATCAGCACCCTACTACCACAGCCACCACTCTCTTTATTTTTTGGGCAGAGCTGCAGATACTAATGAGTATCTTATTAGGTAACTTCACTGAATTACCCACCATGCTGCTAGTGTCATTCTCAGCACTATTACAACTAGCTTGTAAGCTTTCCCTGCAGGCTAGATGTCACAGTTGCATTAAATTGTATTGCCTAAATTGAATGTCACCAGAAAAAAAATACGCTTATGACCATATTCCTCTTGCATAATTGGATATATTTTGGGAAGCCTTATTCTGCAAAATATGAACATAGAAAAAGCTTTGTCTGGAAGGAAATGTTTAAACTGACTCTTCACACGATTGCCATTTCAGAGCCCTATGAGACCTTTTATATTCAAATATTCTGAACTCTGAATATGGTAGAACAGCTTCTTTCTCTGAGAGGACTCAGCTATTTGGATTGACAAAGTCCAGAAACCTTAACTCGATTTATGGTTCTTCAGGAAGGTTGTCTTCATTTAAGAGCTGATAATGTTCCACATACTTTTAATTCCAAGAGCATGACCGGTCCCTCACTTCTCAGAAAAGATGCCATTCTCATAAGAAAAAAAGAGTGCGTGTTGGCATTTCCATTAAAAAAACCCAACCCCCCCCCCCCAAAAAACCCCAAAACCAAATTCTTACATGCTTTGAAACTGTTATCTGGCACTACCATCCATATAAACAAGAAAATAATGCTAATTTTCTGGATGTCTATCCAGAGAGCACTAAGCCTTATACCATAAGAGGAAAGTCATTTACCAGACTTTTAAATGAAAATCCAAACAGAGGATGAAAAACTTTCCACTTTGCTGTTACTGCCTACTTAGGACCCAATACTGAATGCCTACCTAGCAGCTGAAGACAGTGTTTTAAATTTCTTCACAAGATTTAGAACTGGGTCATTTTCCTCTGATCCAATGATCTAATTATCTATATATATATAATTATCCATTAAATCTAATAAAAAATTTCCTAATTTTTATCTGTTTATGCTGTAAATGAAATAATGGTGAAAAAGTATAACATCTCCAAAGAGAATGGAAAACAGAGTAAATTGTATCTGTTTCCAACTGGGATTGCATGAACATCCCTAAGTGCAATGGGACAGTGGGTAAAGGTTCATAATTTGCTGCTTTGCTGCCCCATGGGAACTGGCTTACCAGAAATTGGAATGAGACCAGAGATTCATGGTTCCCAAATTGGTGAAAAAAACGATTTTCTGTCAACACCGATGTGGACTGGATTTACAATAGTGATTTAAATGTGAAAGAGACTCCTTTGTAATATACTGGTTGCATTTATGTGGCCATTTATTGGACCAGACTGTCCAAAGGGTAAATATCTGCTGCTGCTACCAATTAAAAGGCAAGGTATCCCTTAACGTAAACAGAAGAAATCTGCATATTTAGAGGTGAAGAACCAGAACTGGTTCCTTGGGCAATATGCATGTGACTACATGCAGTTTGCATCCACAATGTGTGGGATTGTAACCTCTCTCAAAGAATATCATGGAGATTTACTTATTGACACCTGTATGTTTCTCTGAAATGCTTTAGAGATCATTGCTGTTGGACAAAAACAGCCCTGATAGCAGAGCTCTTATCTACTCAGTAGGTAAAACTGAATCTTTTCCTTTAAAACAACATATGCAAAAATATATCTGATACTGGGTTCACTTCCAGAGAAATTCTGGTTCCCCTTTTTGCATGCTGTGTTTTTTCGCTTTGTGAGACATAGATACCGATCTTTACTCTTCGTCATTCCAGAAAAAATATACTTTATAGGTAATGTCACACATTCATGTTTTTGCATATGTGACAAAAACAGAGAGCTTCTGTTCAGAAAAGAGATATGCTTGAATAGAAATATATTTATCTTCCAAAGCTTTTCTTAACAGAACTTAAGCATTTCTTTCTGGAAATCCCAAGATGCAGCAAATACTGATACTGAGCAGGAGATACTGACTCCTGCTGTTTTTTGCAAGTCTCTAAGCTCATCCAAATAAATGCACTGAAATTTAGGACCCGAGAACTCAATCTTAAGGTATGATCTAGTGATATAAATACAACAATTCAGGTATATAAGTGCCAGAAGAATTCAAACATCTGAAAGAATTGCTACAAATGATAACATACATACCCCAGCCCAAGAGGTAATACCAGTGCAAACGCTGCTCTTCAGCAAACACTGCCACTACGATCAGTGTATGAAGATAAATGCCTTCGCAGAGCATCCAGAAGTAGTTGCACCCCAACATGTACTGATGAAAGAATTGCAGCACTTTGCAGCTTACCTGTTAGACAAATGAGAGAAAGTCAAACACTTGACCAGCATTTTGCACTTAGGTAGGCAAGGATGAATGTTACTGCTAGGCTATAGGAAAACAAAGAGGTTTGTTCAGCACCTATCAGTGAGAGGGATTTTAAACTTTTATAAATGAGATGAATTGAACAAACGGCCCTTACAAAATAGAAAAAAATTATCATAACAAAAATGACTGAACATACCTTCCATTTGAACTAAGTCAGTCTTTGCTGGAACTTTTATCTGTAGCTCAAACAAATGCACACACAGAAAGTACACTCCCTGACAGCTACAGAGCTAAGCTTCATTTCCTTCATTTCCCAACATTTCTTTCTTTCCTATATCCTCCATCTGAACTATCACTCGTGGCTTTAAAAATGAAAGAATTTGCTTATCTTTTAGAGCAATGAACAACATATGACTCTTTTGAGGAATTTAATCACTTCTCATGTAATAAGTTACAGAAATAAGAGTACCAGTGGCAAAGCATGAAGGATTGGTGTGAATAGTACTTTGATACATATCATATTAATTTGAGAATTTATCTGAAAAAGTTAGTATAAGGAGTTTAAGCACAACAATGCATTGAGAGGAATTATGTTAAATTCATACTAATCAAAGGGCAATAAAAATCAGTCTTTGCTTTGGACCTAAAAAATGCAGCATGTTTCATCTACGGCAAAGTGATGCAGTGGAAATACTTTCCTACAATAAGGAAACTGTTTTTCTTAGGTCAGAGTATGTAAAAGAGATGAACCTGTTACTGATGAGAACTGGACTGGTACAAATAAGACATGATAAAGATAACCAATATCTTGGTGTACATTAGTTTTAATTGAGAAAATTGCAGAAACAGTAAGATTCATATAGTGTTTCTTACAGAAAACAAGTAAAATAAAACTGCAAGATGACGCAGAAGCAAATCTTGCACCAGTTCAATGCTTGATAACTGATTTATGGTTCTATAATTTATAAATGTTTACTGTAATCTATAAAGACTTGTATCTATAATCTATAAAGACTGATATCTTTACTATAAGGGTGGTGAGGCACTGAAACTCGTTGCCCAAAGAGGCTGTAGACAGCACTGCCCTACACACAGTGGTGACTATGTAGCAAGGGAAAGTGTGAAAAAATTATAAGGAGAGCCCTCAAAGCCAGCTAACCACCTAAGAAAGCACCTCCTTTGTAGCTCTGGAAGGATGTCCAAAAATAAACCTTTTTTTGGCAAGAAACTCACCCTGCAAGCAAAGAGGCTGCCTCCTGCTACTGGTTCTCACTGCACTGATGGACACAGAAACTGAGAAAGATTCTTTACTGATCTGCAGGACAGCACCCAAGAAAAAAATTTCCTTTAAGTTCTCCTTCCTTATGAAAGCAACCTGCAATGACCTTAAATTCTGGCTAACTCAGGGGCGGAAAGAGTCAACAGGAACACAGTCAGTCATATTCTTCTCACTTGCAAATCTTGCTATGAGTCATGTAACTCTTGCGAATGCCTCAGCTGCAGTATGCAAGGAAAGCACCTCAAAAGGATGCTGGAACATTTCCCAGAGAAGAAGGTAAAAAATTTATTCTCCTTTTACCGGGAGGAGCTACAAATGGTGTCTGTGATGTTTTACAGGACATACTGGCATGTTATAAACACTGTTAATGTTCCAGTCGAAGGAATCCCAAAAGTCCATCTGCCTACACAGGACCCTGGAATTGCACACTAATTTACTTGGCATGCTGCTCTCCTCAGCCAATCCAGCACCCCCATGATCACATGTGCTTTTAATTTCTCTGTTAAGGTTATCAGTTTATAGCTTATGGACAGAAAACTGCACCATTAACTACCATCACTGCCCATCACTAGGGCAAATCAAGACAAAACCCTCAGACTACATAAACCCCAGTATACTACCTTTAACAACAATAACAAAATGTAATACAAAATACACTGCTAACTGTTTTTGAGCAGGTCATCCCAGTAATTCAGTCAGAGTAAAAGGTATGACTCAGTTTTGGTATGGTAAAGTCGTACAGATTCCTGTGGGTCCTCATTCTTGCGATGCTTTCCTTGTTGAAGGGACTCAGGCTGTCACGTTGGGAGGTCTGTGTTTTACATCAGTCCTTGTCACTCCAGAGAGCCTCTCCTATAGAAAGTGAGGGTGGGATAGCCCCGCAGTGTGCATAACAAAACCTCTCTTCTCAAATGCCCCTGACTGACATTTCAAATAAATTGATAAGAACAGGCCAACCAAGGTTATTGATTTTAAGCCAAGCCAGCTATATGGGCCATCAATACAACCGTGCACTTCTTTGTTTAAAGGGAAATAAACATATTTGACCTCACTATCCTCTTCACCTCTGGGAAACCTTCCCAGCGCATGGTGGCAAAGGACCCTCCTTAAGGAGGCCTTGCCACGGAGGCCAGACATGATTTATTCAAATTCAGTTTGAAGCCAATACAATATATTCTCAAACATTCTAAACTTAGCATTTTAAATGACTAGCTTCAAGTTTGATTACTGCTCTGCCTTAAAAATTTGGGTTTTTTTCTATTAGAACACTATTGTATGAAAGTATTCTTAAATTCCAAGTATCCACATGTAGCACAAATAAGCAATAAAAGGACTTCCCAAAGCAAGACAGCACTAAGTATTGTAGCTGTAAATCACTGGCTATCAGAAGTCGTACCATTATACAATGTATCTGCAATGAGTCATCCATTAAACAGTGTTCCAGTCAGAAACCTGGCATACTGGGGTTTGGAAGAAGATTAATGCTTTAATATACTTTTAAACCATTTACGGAACAAAATGTACACAGTGGCTCAGAAGGATGCTAGGTTTTGTGCTATAAGAAAGCAAAATACGAAATTAAACAACAGGAGATATTCTTAACAGCATCTGTGTCCATGTCTATGCTATAGGAAAGCAGCCAGCCCAGAATTACATATTCTGGACAGGAATTAATACAGTGACATCTGCACATACTTGAGTCCCAGCTGCTGTAGTGATAGCTATCCCTGGGCTGCAGCTTCAAACTGCAGGGCTGAGCTCTGGAGGGGTTCCCGTGGCACATATGGCTCTGTCTCAATATGCAGTGGCCACTGGCTTCTCGCCTGAAGGATGCACCACGGCAAGTGTCATGCGGGGTACAAGACAAAGCAAAACACAGCCTTGTCATGCCAGATGGGTTTTATCAGCTTGGTTTCTGAGCTGGGGCTGCTGCAGGGAGGCAGCTTCTCAGGGAGGTATTGTAAGTATGAGCCTGACCGATGGAGGAGAGCAGAGAGACCATCAGAGAGGGAGAGAAAACAAGGGCAGTCAGGATAGCCTAAAAAAATAGTACAGAAATACTGCAACCTGCTGTTCATTTGGACAGGATCTGCTGCCACCTTCTCCCAGTGGTGGGAAGTAATCTCTGATGAAAAGGGGTAAGACTGCAACTATTCCAGGCACCTCTCCTCCACCATCACACCTGAGCAAGACCCACGAGGCACAGGAGGATAGGACAAGGCAGAGGCTACTCAGACATATCCAGGTATAGCTGAGCTCTGGGCATCGTGCCCAGAGCCAGGCTGGTTTAAGGCTAGGTGGAGTATATTTAACAGCCAACTGTACTTACCCTATGTTTGAGGTGTAACCTGCCAAAGCATTTCCCAGGTACTAGGTAGATATATAGCTTTGATGACATGCCTATATATACTCCATGATTCAGTTAAATGCTCCAAGAGTTTTCTAATGATATGACTGGTATTTGTGATACTAAATATAGACACCCAATCTGTCTCTCCTGTAATCAAAAAGGTAACGTGTCAACAGAGATGATGGAGATCACAGTACAAATTACCTCATCCTAAAGGATATATCTGAAATAAGTCAGATGGATAGTCCCTGGATGCATCTTTGTCTGTCTTTAGCATGGGACGACTAGGTCAGCTGTATGTATTTAAAAAAATGGTGTCCAAATGTAAAACATACCTGACCTTAAATGCTTATGAATGTTTTAATGTTTTAGATGCACTCAGACTCTGCTCCAGTGTCTATCCTGAGGAGATCTGGTGCCAGGGGGAGTCCCCAACCCTCTGAAGGACGTTGGGCCAAGGGGACACCAGAAAATTTAGAAGTCAGTGAGTTGGGTGTATGCAACCATAAGACATTCAAAGGTGAAATGGTGAGGAAAGGAGCTCAGTCATCCAAAGAACTGACCTATTTTGGGCTAACAGCTCATTCTGCCACCTAAAGCTAAGGCCATGTACATAAGTTGCCCAAACCTTCTGCTTTTTGCCTCCTGCGGAAAGTCATTACTGTTTCTTCTTCCATACACTTACTCCGTGTGCTTGGTTGTCATCTGTAAAGACACTTTGACGCCCTTTCATTTATTTCTCTTCTGCTTCAGGCTACTTTGGTTTGGTCTTAAATATCTTCGAGAGACACAGGGTGGCAGGGTTGTGGCTAAAAATGGGCAATACTGCTGGTCTGTACAGCAGTCACTGAAGGGCAATGAAATAACATGGATGGTATAAATTTCATATAACCTGGAAATCTGACTTCATGGTATGGATGTGCAGGATGAAGTAGCCCCTGTAGAGGAATGAGCACTCTTCATTTATTTAACCTGACCTATTTTAGCCACCTGCATTAGAGTGAGGAGAATGGTCTCTTGAATGGAGACACAGCTGCCTGCACTGGCAGCACTGCCATTTAAACAGACAAATCCCAGTGAGGAAAATTGGAAACATTCTGGTACTGTCCCTCTGAGGGGAATTCCTTTTAGAAGAGTCCATCTTCTGAAGGATTTTGAAAAATCTACTTTTTGGGCAATTCCAACTCAAATTTCTCATATCTTAAATACAATCTGCTAAAGGCATAAGGTAAGGAAACTTGGAGAGGAACCCCCAGTTTGATTTGAATTATCTTGAATTAGTAGCTGCTCCTACATCAGCTAGGTTTCTAGACATAATTGCTTCATATTCCCAGAGAAATATCAAAACTTAAG